TTGGGGCAAAGACTGGCAGCACTGGCTTGTCCTCATCGTTTCCTCAGCTTGTCTCATATTGACTAAATGACAGAGAGTGGCATAAAAATTTGTGGATTTGAAACTCCACAAAGGGCGTTAGAAATAAGTTTTTACTTATTACATTTTTTCATTACCAAGATATTATAAAGGTAACTTAATGTGGTGTACTTTTAAAAAGAATTTTGGAAAGGAAAAAGGGAAAAAAAATACGTAAATGCCTTTCATCAAAGTTTAGCCACTTGTGTCAAGTCAAATTTTACATAAGTCATTACGTTTCCCATTTCTTTTTAGTTGTAGACGCACAAATCAGCTCGATCAAAGATGACACAAGGATAGTCAGAGGTCCGATAAACAGCAGCTATACGCTCCAGTCTGCTCTACCTGATGTGTATAAGGTAAAATAGGTATCTACTGTATCACAACTACTCTTAAAAAGGATAATTTCACCTTATTTTTTTGCTGGCTGTTGTTATTAACAATCGTAGCTTCCCAATAACAAATGGCGTTTGCACAACCATCTACTTCACCTGCACATATATTCAAGGTAGGTGCTCCAAAATTCTTTATTCCTTCTCTGTAGGTATTTTAAGTGATTTATTTTAGCATTTTATTTTGAACTATGCAGTTTGGATCAAAATTTAGTCTAAATTAGAGTACCTGTGAAATTTTTTGCATTAAAAGATCTTTTCATAAATTATTATAGTGCGGCCATATCACGCGGTGGTGACACTGGCAGGAAAAATTTCGGAAGATTTAAGTTGGATTACGTTTATACCACAAAGGAAGTCCGTAATTGCTGTATCAATTGCTGTGTTCCCAAACAGCGTGTGGACACATTTTGAGGCTTTGCATAACTTATATTACCAAATATGCCTTTAACTTCATAATCATGTAGGTGGTTTGATTCCAAATCCAAATCAGCCATTTTTGGTTGATGCTCTCAACATGACAGAAGCCAAGCTTACTTGTACATTCAATGGAACTGGAACACCAGTATGCAAATTTTGGTTTTTAATTAATGCCGTTTGCCCAATGCCAGAATTCTACCCTCGAATTGTTTATTAGCGCTTAACCTCTTAACTGACTGTTGCTTTCAAGGTCACGATTGTCGCAACAAAATACGCTTCTCCAGTATACGTGCTAAATGCCTCTAAGTCGGCGAATTATACGGAGGATTACCCAGAAATCATCACATTTGGTTTGTATTTGCTGTTGTACTTTTGCATACTTGAATGAGTTACTGGAAGTACCCATCAAAGTAATCACAGCATCACCGTTCATTTAGACGTTAAGCAGGAAGGTAGTTCAACCACGTGTGAGGTAACAGTACGACGACGTTTTCGGATAGATTACATCGGATGCACCGATGGATTGAATTGGATGACATACGTGATTGAAAGGGGTATGCTGATTTAGTATTACATTGGTTTTTAAAAAAACAAACTTATGAATGAGTCCTTACCCAAGTAGTGATAATGTGAATTGAAAACTTGACAAAATAAAGCAGCCCGATATTTTTGTTACCGAAATTCTACAACCAGTTAATTACATGTACATGACGCATTCACAACCGGCCTTTCATTCCAAGTGAGGCAGAGATTTGAGGCTAGCACAGTTAAAATATGTTTGATTGTAAATTAATAAGCTTTTTTCCTACGCTTCCGTTTTTTGTCGCACTTGTATTGCCAAACTATCTATTCTGTTGTTGTTTGTGATTACACAGTCCACCACCAGCCTTTGTCGCGCTCTCTGACGCCTGCAATATTCACTTGTTAGTCTGGGATCTCAAATCATTAGATTTTTACAACACCTGATGGATGGGAAAGGAACTTGTCTGCTTCAAAAAAGCAAATAGTGCCTGATTTTAAAGCTAAAGAGGTTTATCATAGAAGTAGCAGAGAGTTCAAAAAAGGCACGGTAGGTGAACATACCATCCAGAAATGGTTTGTGTTGGCGTAATTCGAAAGATGAATCACTCCAAGTTGGTCATATTGATTTCAAGAAGACCCTCTGAACTGAACAGCAAGAAGTCGATGCCCTTCGGACATGCACACAAACAGACTAGTCTGGCCTGGAGTACACTGGTCAAGAACTTGTAGGGAGGCTTAGCGTG